GAATAAAACTCCCTGAACACTGAAAACATCTACTGTTCAGATTTTTTAACAGGTGACCTCTCGTGGCTGTGTGACGACACACTGTGCTGTGTGTCTCTGATAAGCAAAAGGCAGACGTAGCAGGACATTGTTATAGTGCTACAAAACTTCTTGGAAGGGTGACAGAAAGAGTTGAGTTATGACACAGGAAACACCCGTTGGTATCCCGTATCCTACGAACAGTCAACAAGGAATAGTTAAAGATTTGTTAAAACACATTTATTGGCTTTCTTCGCAAGAGCTGGATAAGATAAACGCGGCCACTCTCACAGTAGTGTGTGCTAAGTGTTTAGCTTAGCTTAGTATGCAATCTGGAGGCAGGGGGAAACAGCTAGCCTGAAACTTTGGACAGAGCCAGGCTAACTTTCCCCTTGCTTCCAGTCTTTATGCTAAGTTAGGCAAGCCACCCACTGGCTCCAGCTCCATCCTCTACTACATAGGCTACCTATTACCAAAATCATGTGTTTTTCTTCTCTTCCCTGCAGGAAATCTGTCCATCTAGTACATGTCATGAATACATCTCACACACCGGAACTTGAAAGCATTCATTCGTTCCTTATTGACTCAGTTTCTTTATGCTCTCCACATTTTCCCCATAGTCATGTGCACCCCCGTAATGGCTCTACACCGCTCCAGGGTGGCCTGCCACCCAGTTTGAGAACGACTGCCATTGACCACAGCAGTGGCAAATTAGAAAATGCTTATAAGAATCATTGTAATGTAATAGTTGGAAAGCCCCTGACGAACATTGTTGTCCTAGTAATAGGGGCGCCAGATCAGACATATGACCTATTTTAGTTTAGAGGACTGGTCGGCTCTTGGCTATATCAACTTTCATCAAATGTGATGTCACCATGTCAATGTTCCTGCATATTTTTTAAATGTCAAGACATCAAGCCTAGGAAACAAAAGCACTATGAATCTCTGCTTCTCCCGAATATCTGGTTGTAGGCTCACACCTCTTAGCCTGACCAACCATCTCTATGGTTTAAACAGACACATAGTTTCCTATTCACAATGATAAATGATAATTAGTTCAACAGACACGAGTGGCAAACATGCTCTCAGTCTCTTGTCTGCCTCTCCAGACACACAGACGGTATGCATGCACATATACAATCACACTCTGCTGTTTTAAGCCAGGCTCACATTATGTTCACATAATGTAGCTGTAGGCCACCACTCACTTTCTTGAAAACATCGTCTTGCTGGACAGGAAGGAATCTTTTTCCCCTCGCAGATTCTTTACATTCTTCCTTAGCAGCAAGACCCATTTATAGCAAACGGGCCAAGCTAATTCCCATCGCACTGACTTCTAGAAATGGTCTGCTTCACGTTGTTTCACCCCAAAAATCCCTTCCCGAACAAGAATGTGGGCTCTACCTTCTTATCCAAATAATCACAGAAAACTTGCCAAATATACGTGACGTCTGTGACATATGAGCCAACAAAAACAAAGACTTCTCCTCTCAATGGGAAAGTCTTACAGTGTAGCAATCCTCATTGCCCCATCCACACCACACCACCACACTACAGCTGAGGCTGCAGGGTTTTGTTTTCGATATCAGTGCCCATCCAATATCTGAATTTTGGAACACCAAACAATACTTTAACTGAGGGTACATACAGATGTATAAAGCTCCTTTTTTCCCTTTAACTAAATATATGAAACTGCTTGTCCACTGTTAAACCGGACAGGCCGATTTATCAGTCGTCACGGTAATGCAAAATGTATTGCAGCGTTCTTGTATTAGACTGGATTACTTTTAGCTAAATAGGTGTACCTAATAAACTGAGTGTGTGTTTGAGGTAAATTAGAAACAGTGTCTATCTGATGGTTTGCCCAGCAGAGAGCTTTAACAAGTTTATTTACATGGATCCCAGATTTTTTTATCATTATTTTATTGGCTTCACAAGCAATTCTCAAAAAGTATTGAGGTTTAATATACAACCCTACTCATGATCAAGCAGAGGACAATAAAATACCGGCCTAGAGTCTTTAGTCTGCCTTTAGGTTGCTCATTGGGATCGAAGTGTACTCTGTATTTCCTTTTTGTCATCATTATGAAGTAGCCTGATTCCAAGCCTGACTCGCTGCAGACATCATTTACTTTTTCAGAGATTCAAATAGGCCTGTGTGTGCTCACTGATGGCTGTTTCCCTGGGTGGAAAAATAAGCTGATCAGAGCTTTGTAGGCGGGACCTTCCAAAAACAAATTTGAACACAAACAGACAGACTAGAAATGATGAGAATAAAAATGGAAATTCAGCCTGATTATCAGTCTAGTACTGATCTGTTTGCCCTCAGATCTCTCTTGATCACAGTTCTGGATCTCAGCAGGTCTATCAGATAAAAATAAATAAAGGAATCTACCAGGCGACCGCAGCAGCGGCAGCGTGTCTGCCACATCAACACAAAGCATCCCTGTGTCTTATCACTTATTCATTAAGCAATGCCACTGCCTTATGCAGGCAATACACTGGAAAGGTTCCAAAAGGCTTAGAGACCATGTGGTTGCTTTATAACAAGGACACAGCTCTAGGTAGCCATCTGCAGTAAGTGCAGGTTGAGCACTACTGAACACTCACTGCTACTTTAACTCAGAAGAGCAACCAAGCAGGATTTCCTTGTCAATAAAAACACACACCAACACAACATCCCATCCTCAGACCTATCGACTGCCTTATCAACCAGCCGCCTACAGCAGCGAACTGAGAGGAATCAATATGTTATAGAGGGCTGCAAAATAACACTGTTGCACTGTTCTTAGGACAATTAAAAGAGTCTACAGGATGGATTAATGTTTTTGGATAAAATTAGGCAGCTTGCCATAACAAAAGGTGGCCACTTTTGTGCTACAGCAGGGCTTGAAGCATCTAGGCTTGGTTAATACAACAAAATGTGTTGTGAGACAATTTACATTAGCCAACCATTTATACCGAGGTAAGTAAGCCTTTAATATCTCCCGTTGTTTTAACCATGTGGAAAATGTTGCAAATCAAATGACTGCTTTGTGATAGGATTTTTACATCAAAGCATGTAAAAAGGAAGCATCTTGATTTGTAAGGTTTGCTGGACATTCATGTCTGCTTATTTTATTTTATCCATAACCGTTTCTTAATAGATACTGGTACCTTTCCTGGCAACATTATAGCTGCAAATTCTAGCCTACACCTGCTTTGCAGACCTACACTAATCAATATTTTTATTAACAATGGTTCAAATGACGTGCCAATCAAGGTGACAACAACACAAGAGCAAGTCACCAGAGCTGTAGACTTGAGACTTGAGAACTGTTGTACTTACTTTACACTTGACTGCTACAAAACTTCACACAGACTTGTAAACAAAACAATAAAAACTAGAAGGGCACTGAGAGCAGAGACCTCTTGCAAGGCCAGTAGTCCAGACTTCAATGATATACAAATCTGCAAGAGCAACCGCCATATATGTCTGGATATGTTTCCAAAATTATTAGAATTACAGTGCGTCAAAATCGAATAAAACTGAAGCCTCGTCATCTCAGTTGTGTATTTATTATGTACTTGCATTACCCTGCATTTGTTTCTACAAACACGATGTCTGAGGTGGCTGTTATGTTTTGTTGTATGTATAGTTCCGGCACACCGTTCACTTTAATGTTTATGGGTTCATGTTAAGTGACAAATTCAGTTGATTTTGCCATTGTTGGCGTTACAGCTGACCTATCTGGCACTGTAAACAAAAGTGAAAAGTAATTTGTATGGCTGCCCCATGTTTCGGATCTGCTCCAAAATGTAATTGGTTCTTCCTTGGCCGATGCTACACTCTTCCACCAAGTTTCATGGAAATCAGGCAAGTAGTTTTTCCATAGTCCTGCTGACAGACAAACGGCAATAATTATCCCCAACTCTGCTGTTCCCCTCAGGCCTATGGAGCATTTCAGCATCTTTCAGCCCATTGTTTTGCTTTTACGGCTCACAACTTTACAGCCAGATATTTTTCCCAGGAGTTGTAGAGGAACAAACTGGAGCTGACTGGAGAGTGAATATGGACTTAGATTCATGAAGTGCACACATACAGAAATCCAAATGTATGGTAATCTCTGTGTCTGCTGGATGCATAAAAAGGGAACTTTTTAGTGTTTCCTATTGCTGTGGTCACATCACCTTTATAAAGCCAATATTTACATTTGTGTAATGTCGTGGAGTCAAACGTTGGCCAAACTAAAAGGATCGATGCATCTTAAAGCCACAGGTACACACCCCATTTCACCCATTTAATTGGAATTTTACACTGAGACAAGAGCAGGGGAGTGGTGGTGTTTTTAGGAATTTTAGGCACGTGCCTGCATCATACTGCATTGGGTAGTTCAGGAAAAAACATGTGGACTCAATTCCCCAGAACACCGTACCTGCTGAAAAAGAACGAGAGGTCATAAATGTGGACAAACCTCAACTTTCATCATCATCTGTGGATTAAGCACCCTGAAACAAGCTGTTTAGCCACACATTTTAGAAAAGCATTCTAAATTGGTATGAAAAACAGGGATTTTGCATTTAACACAGTCAGTTTTCACTTCGGGACGGTGCGCACAATGTTTGGGACAGCTGTGGGATGGCTGAGAAGCAAGTCTGGAGCCCTGGGTGCTCACACAGAGAGAATATGGTTGGTGCATTTGGTGGTGTCTAATTTGGCAGGCCAGAGAAGCCCTGTGATGGTGACTGACCCCGAGGGACGTCTCTGAGATGAGAGGGAAAACCACCATGCCCCACACATGAATATATTACACACCATATGCACCGAGTTAAAGCAACATCCACATCCAAATAAACCCAACTGCAATGCAGTCCTGACAACATCTGGCCGACAAGACCTTGATGAATATTTTTTTTGTGAAAAATATAGCGTACAACACTGTGGTAGCCCTGAAACTGGGCCAGTGATGTCACAAGCTAAGATTCATTTGTTTTCATCCTACCTCATCAAAGCCGCTGTCCTCTTTCTTGAAAGCTGCAAAGAGAAGAAAGGAAGAGAGAATCAGACACTGCCTGTATTGACATCTTTTGAAGAGGGAACAAAATAAAAAAAATAGTCTAACAGTAGAGATGCAGCAAGAAATTTGTCAGGAATTCATTCTGCCCTCATTAAAGCAGTGCAGGTCTAGCTTTTTTCATATTGAGCTGAAGAGGAGTTCTCTAGCTGTGGTGACAACTCCCTTTTCTCATGGAGTTTCAGCAGAGGATGTTAGAAAGCAACACTAGAAGGGATGGAATTGACATTTTCTACCAAGCAGAAATGTTCACTTTTATGGCTATTGGTAAACTTTTTTTTAGGATAATATAAACTGGGATTTTTATAAAAACTTTGTCAGCTCATATTTTATATCAACAGTTCTATTCAAGGCTGCCACCAGATGAAATCTGTTGGAAACACACACTAAAAGTCATGACTTCTTTGTTAATAAGGCCGTGCAGCTGAAAAGCTCCAGAAAACGCTAGAATATTTGATCACAGATATATATGCTTCCGGGATAAAACATTTATCTGCACACTCAATCTTAATTGGTATAGGTAGATATATGAAGCTGGACTTTGACAAGACAAATAAAAATACAAATTATAGACAATCATCTGATTAAGACGGGGTCAAAAACAATAAAAATAGTAGAGGGGGAGTTCATATTGGACACACTTAACTGAAACTGGATTCTATGATCTCCCATTTAATTACAACAGTGGATCTCAGTAATGTATACTGTGTCACATGTAATGTTTTATACCAACAAAACATTACACAAACAATTCAGAAAAGACTACAAAAAACTGAATTGCAAAAACACTGTCCTGTGATACCAGAATCAAAAAGTACTGGTATATAAAAAGCTTCCCAATGATGTTACGTCTACATCCACACTGACAATCCACTGTTCCTCACATTCGCTGCGGGGAAAGACAGGATTGCATTTGACATTAATATCCTTCATTTTTATGAAGAAGAGGGGAGTTTGTTTCTGCATCTTTGACTTCTCATAGTTCAAGAAGCTTGCAGAGAGCATTATTAATTAGGAAATCATGATTTCCCCTCCAGTTATTAACTTCTCACGATGATTAGGTTTTCTAATGAGAGAGGCAGTACAGATGGCTGAAAGACTGAGTGCTCTAGGGGCCGCTTCGTGGTAATATGACTGTTTTATGTCAGAGTGAGTGTTTGGAAGCACGGTCCGCCCAGCCACTGAGCCGTTAAACTGCTGCTTCCTTCTCCACAGAGGGTCAGCACACACACAAGCCCTACAGACGTCCCAGACACTCCAGACAGCATCATCACAGCTGCAAATCCACACTCAATACAATGGATTAGACTGCAGGTAGAGAATAAAGCTCCTGCACTGGCTGCACCAGGTGAACAGCAGGAAACCCATTTTATATTGTCAGTTTAATTATTTGCAATTAAAATAAACAACTACCAATTGCCAACTACAAATATTTTTGGGGAAATGTATTTGTTTTCAAATGTTGTAGTACTCTTCTTTCATATTCACATTTTAACTAGGGTGGATTGCCCTAATGTGGGACAGTTAAGGTCTAGTGTTTGTAGGTCCCCCATAAATACAGGAATACCAGTGCAACTATTGGTTAGCCAAAGCTATGGTGTCATGTGATCAAAATCACATAACTTCTCAAATGTCCAGTCCCATATGAGGGTGAAGCAATCATCAAACAGGAGGCACCTTGTGTAAAGACCACCCAATTATCAGTGACATAGAGTTTTGACAAACTTGACATTAAGGAGTATAAGGTCAATTTAAATAAAACAGCCTTTTTAGCCTATTGTGCTAAAATTTTGCTTGTCAAATTTTCAAGTGTCCCACTTTAGGAAATGTGGTTTTGAAAAGTGGTGACAGTGTGATTTACCTAATGTGGGACAGTACAAAAAAGTGTAGTGGGACATGGTTTGTGGGACAGATGTTATGTTTTTTACAGGGTTTTATTGGTCTTATGCACTGTTAGAATGCTGTACTACATGTTTAAGGTCATGGGAACTGATTATTCTTTGGGGGATGGCAGTTCGACAGCTTTTTGTGTTTGTGTGTGAAGGGAGTAGATGTCTTAAAATGAAAAAATAGCTTTTAATTTAAAAACCAATAAAGCCAATAAACTTACTTTTATGCATCTAATGATCAATTCATTTAAATGTATTTCAAATCACAATGGCAAAGCAGAGAGGTTTTCCGACGCAGAGCGAGAGACAAAATTAGGGAAAGGATGAGAGAAAAGGCAGGATAAAAGGCTTTGTTTGTGTTTGTTGTGAAGTAAAATAAACCAGGGATTCTGATTGTGCATTTAACCCTTTTCTATCTGCATAACATCACACAGGCCTGTGTCAACAGTTGCTTAATGTCTATGTCAAAATGGCATCAAAACTATCATATTATCTGATATATACATATTATTTGTTGGTGTTCAGTTATCAATGTTTCATTCATCCATAACCAAGAGAGTTACTAACTTAAGTTTTATATTCTACATGAATTAAGGTTATTTTCTACAATATACTTTCAGTGTCCCACATTAGGAAGTCACCGATTGTCTCAAAGAATTTGCACTAAGAGCATGTGTTATCTGTGTTTTCTTTTTTGATTTGATTAGGACACATCCTGAGGTTTTTAAAATGGTATTGGGTGTTGATTTAATACATTGGCTTCACATCGCAATATGCCACAAAACAAAAAATGTCCCACATTAGGGCAATTCACCATAGATATTACTGGAGATGAACAATTTTACTTTACACTGTGACCTCTGAGCTAACGTTAACGTTAGCTTCTCAGGCTGACAGCGACAGAATCCTGACGGTCCAGTTTCTGATATTTTTAGATGATAATTAAAATGATGTGCTTAGAAGTTAAACTGTGGATTCTCTGCCCACCAGCTGGAGTCTATTTACTTTTGAAAGCTACCAATCAACCAAATAATTTATCCACACGCATGCTGTTTGTGTTTTTAAATCTTTCAAACATCAAAATTATACATAGGCCTACTTATGCCAAGCTTGTTTACTCATTTTCTTTGACAAAATCATCTTTGACAGAGTGTTTAGTATGAAACTAGAGCCAGAAGGCAATTAGCTTAGCTTAGCATAAGTGGAAGGAGGGGGGAAAACTGTCTAGCTCTGTCCAAATTACACCCACCAACACCTCTAAATCTCACTAAATAACATGTGGCGTGCAATTTGTTTAATCTATAACAAGTTAAAATGTGAAAGCTACAGGTTGAGGTATTAGCAGGGTTACGTGCTGTGATTATTTCTTGGCATCACTTTGATGGTGAGACTCGGTATGAAGCTCTAGCTTACAGATAAGAGTAACAGGCGATCCATCTTCTCATCTTCCACTTGGCAAGAAAGAAAATAAGCATATTTTAAACAAAAATGGCCGTTCATATGAGAGTATTTCACATTTGTGGGGAAAATTACAAGTGAAAACGTATCTTCACATGGGGATTAGGAAACACATATTTACATATTAAAACCAACCTGTGCAGTAAACATGTACTTTGACTACAATAAAGTACTTACATGTGATGTTCTGCATGTGATAAAATAAGATGTTTCGAAAACTTAAAAAACAAGATCCTTCGTTTGCACTGAATGATAGGAGCATTCAGTGAAGAATGTGTTCCTGTCAAAACATTCAGATTTTGATACCGGTGAGACGCTGTCAGAGCATTCTTGTTCACCGCAAATAATTGTTATACTATATTTATTTCCAGAGTGCATACAGAAAATAAAACAAACACTTTCCAAAGGAAATGATGAGAGGGATACATAAAATAATACTGAGGGAAAAATAAGACCGTTTTCAAAACTCAATGTAGAAAAACATACACACACAAAAAAAAATCTGGCTCTTCTGTCTTAAAACCCATAACAGCTCATTACTGCTTTTCATACTGCATCTCTCACTTGAAGCCCTTTTGATCAAAGTTGGAAGAAAAACATTAAAAAGCTGAACCTGTCTCTCATAGAGAGAAGGTGGTAAAATTAACTTCAGGGATGTGCAGATAAATCCACCTACAATAACTTTTCTTTATAGTTATATAGTTTTATCTATAGAAAACATGTATAGCTGACATAATATTAGACGTATTTATTTATCCAGGTAAATTCCCCTTAGCACAAAAGCTCTTCTCCTTTAACTCCTTACATTCACACTTAGTCTAAAAACACCATTTACACCTGAACAACAGCAACATGGCAAAATCTCAGTTTCCAGCCACCAAGCAACAAAATCTTGCATGACAGCCAAATGGTCAAAGTGGGACAGAAAGCCCACCCCCTGTCTGTGATCGCCTACGCTGTATTTTAACTCGGCCAAACTCACAATGTTCTAATTGACATATTTTTATGTTTTGTTGTCGTCAGATGTCTTTTTGTCATCAGCTGAATGAGCATTAAATATTGATTTGATTATGGACATGTTGCCGATTTGAAGATAAAACAGTTCCTCCTGCACAATCACTATTTTATGCTTTTCACAAAATCAATCAAAAAGGAAAAATAAACTCGCATAATGACAAGGACTGTATCAGGTGATCAACTATATTGACATTTAAAAATATTGATCACAGAGGGTTAGAGACGACAGGCAGGTGTCTTCTTAACTTTATAGCCCCACACACCCCCTGGACAGGCCTACTACTGTCATCGTTTTCCAAAAACTCATTTTTTCCCGTCCACACTAGAATGTGAGGTGAGTTTTGAAAAGCTCCATATTGGAGTGAGGACGATGTGCATTCAGATCTGAACAAGAACTACTACAGATGTCACCAACTAATGACAGCTTACTTTACAAGTGCCTAGTTTTTTGTTCTCAGAACTGAGACATAAATAAATGCTAGGATGACATGTCCATGTGCTTTACAGCCTCTAGTGGTAGGTGGACTTCATTCCTGACTTAATTCAATGTACGGCTGGACGATATGGGCAAAAATGTTATCACGATAAAAAGTTTCATATCTTTCGATATCGATAATTATCACGATAAGTATCAAATCGTTCATTCTTTTGAGTTTAAGGGCTGATTTTTGCTCCCGAGTGAAAGTTCAAGAAACCTAATGGTTATTGTCTTTTTAAACTCTTCTTTATAGTCATCACTTGAGGCCAAACAGTGGATCACTTCACAAAATCTGAGGTAGAACATTCAAAACAATTATGATAAAACCTTTGTCAACAAATATGCGTGAGTAAAATTAAGTAATAGCTTTTATCAGTCCTTTTTCCTCAACAAAATAAAAATCTTAATAAAAAAATTAAGTCCTAATTAGTGTATGATTCATGTGAATAAAATCAAACATTTATTGAATATTTATTGAAAAGAGTTATATTGCGATAAGTATTGCTTCATTGTCCAGCCCTATGATAACGAGGCAGAGGAGCAGGAGCGCAGGGACTGACCATAGCTTGGAAGTAGGGATGAGCAGTTCCCCTCATTACCCTGTGAACTCGCACCAGAGTTCTGAACTCCTTCAGTCTTTCCCACAGGATTTTAAGAGACTATGGTGGGCAGATCTCAGACTATCTCGGGAAGCCCGGGGGAATGCCCCCCCGGGAGAAAATTGTGTACATTTAAAGTTAAATGCATTCATTTGGTGCAAAATTAAGAGGTTCTCTATGAATAACTTTGCACTCTTGTAAACAATGTTGTGCTCTAGTAAACTATTTCATTTTATAGCTATAAATGGTGATGAAACAGCAACAAAGTTCAACAAATGTATTTAATGTTTTTCCAGCAACCCAAATTAAAGAACAGAAAATAAGTAATTTCCCTATTTAATTGTTGTTGTTTTATACTTTCTGTGAATATAATCCAATTAATCTTATTTCCATACTGTATAGACACCTTATTTTGAAAACCGGATGCTGTCACATGTGTTTCCTCGCGCTAAATTCATCAAGTCCGACCAGTCCGACCCGGTCCGACCATAGACTGTATATAAAAAGTCTATTAAAAAAATGTGGTTCTCGTATCGCGTAACATGAAGACTTCAGGTAGGACTCTCACACTGCAGCACTTGTCTTTGTAAAGAGACAAACTGACAGGATAAAGTCGCTAACCTGCCTGTCAGCTCGCTCTGGGCCGTTTCAGTTACCATGAAGGCTTTAATACGTGTGCACTCCAAATTTAGGTGCGGCTAGCTTAAAAACGAGTGACAGAAACGGACCGTTAACGTTGCCGTAGTTACTTCAAAAGAAAGGTGGTTGTCTCGAGTCACAAAACACAACGTTAGAGGTCTGAAATGTTGTTATGAGATGAGTAAAAATATTTTCAGTTCATTTTGAGACTACGGCGGCCGCCATGGTCTCGTTAATCAATGGGAAACACTGTCCTTGTTTGCAAAATGCAACAGGGAGGCAACAGCGTGGACGTACTATTAATCACACATTCACACCTCGAAGCTGCAGCCACTCCACAGCTCCTCAAGAGCAGCTGTGGGTTAATTGCTTTGCTCAAGGGCACCTCAACCTCTGTAATGCTTTGTTAATTTACTTCCCTGCCCAGATTTAATCGTGCAGGTCCAGGGATCGGACCGACCTTCTGACCATGACTGTAACAATAATTACGCCTTTTGAAGTCAGTAGAAGAAATAATTTTGTCATTAATAATAATGTTCCTGAGTAATTTAAAGGTGAAGTAAAAAGAGAAAGGCATAGGTGTGCAAAAATAGAGAGATTTTCTGTTTTTTAAGCTGCCCAGTCAGGGTAGAGCCCACCCTTTAACCCACAGTTGTTTAATCTCAGGTCAGGGCCCCACAGGTCCCCTACCGATTGGGTCACAGGAGATTTGTTTCATATTTTATGTACTTTTAATTAAAATGTATTGAGGGGGTGTTCCATCATTTCGATATTATCCACCTGGGGCTTTCTTCATGATCTTGAAAACACAAACTGGCACCTTCACATTCACATGACAATCTGACAGCAATCCAATGACTTTGCTCATGAGGGCCAAACCTGGGCTCACAGGTCAGAAAAGGTTGAGGACTCCCCCTGCGTCAGTCCGTTAACCAGGTTTGAAGCTACTGAAATGGAAACACCCACAATGCATCATGCCGCAGAGTGCCATAATTTGACATGCGACGCAGCCCTGCGCAGTGCGACCTGTTGGACAAACACCGCTACATAAACAATGAAGCTGGCTCTTGAATGCGCTTTGTTAAAGCCTCTGCAGAGCCGAGCGAGGGCCCGATCAACGCTCAGATGTGTTGATTTAGATGGGAGGAAAGATGGCCAATAGGAGATGAGCGTCAGCACAGCAGAAAAGTCAATGCCAATCTTTCTTCTCCCGCATCAACCCCAACCCACTCCTGTTCAGTTCTCCTTATAGGCTGCATCCAGCTTTTCATTCTCCACACACACACACACACACACACACACACTGCTTCAAAGGCCACTGAACCCTGTGAAGATCACTGCCAAGGCACTCTGCGTGTGTGTTTGTGTGTGTGTGTGCAGCAGGATGTGTATGCATGAGTATGAAAGAGAAAAAAAAGGGAAAGAGAGAGAGATACAATGAGATATGATGAGTGCACCTTGACAATCAGTGATGTGATTGGGTGTCTGTGATGGTTTTTGTTCCGAGTCACACATGAGCTTACTTTAGCCGCACAGCATCCGTTACTGAAGAACTGTATTTAAAAACGGAGTGAAGATGAAGATGGCAATGATGAAGCAGGGATTTAACTCCAGTTTGCACATATCTTGTAATAAACCATAGACCATATTTTATTTTTAAAAAATGCTAAGAATTAGATGCCGACCAATTTACCAGTATCGTCCTGATTTATAGAGGACTGACAAGATAAATTAGTCGGCATTTTTGATAATCAATTCACTGTTTAAGTCATATTTTAAGCAAAGGTTCACTGGCTCCAGCTTGTCACATGTGAAGATATGCTGCTTCTCATTGAATGTTTTAGTTTTGCACTGTTGGTCAGATACACCAAACAAAAAGAATAAGTCATGTTGGGCTGTTTTTCAAATATTTCTGATACTCATTTAAGAGATTCTCATTAAAAATGTTTACTCATTAAAAACTGAATTTCAGACCAAATTTTATTGGCTTTTAAAAATATTGCTTTGCTTTGAGTTTTGGCCTCACACATCCAGTATCGGTCGGGCCATTCTATGAATTGGTATTTATGTGAAAATAAAATGTGTAGCAGTACCTACTTTCATCATGCCTTCTTTTATTGGCTGATATGGCATGACACATCAGCATCAGTGTGTACAGTATGTTGGCTGCTCACAAGAAATCACAGTATAGACATGTCAAAGATATGTTGGAGGTCATTTAGAGACAGTGGTGCATTTTTCACAGTTCAATTATTAACCAAATTTAAGGGATGCTTAAAAAATTGTTTATAGCCTACAATGTGGTTTAAGTTAGTCATTTCCTGGTTTCAGAGCTAAAAATTGGTGAGTTTTTTTAAATTCCTTTGTTTTGTGTGACAGTCAAGTTTTGATATCATCATGTTTATTTTTGCAAAATGACAATAAATTGGAAAAAGTGCCTACTTCAAGAAGTTCTGGCACCTTTTGTGAAATGGTTTCACCTCCTTTACTGTAAAAAACAACAACTGTGGAGTCCACAGGGTTCACATTATTTCTGACAAACAGGGACAGAAACAAAGTTTGAATTTATGCTGATGTCAAGCACATCCTGTCAGATGGAAACTCTATTGAAAAATACATGATGATGATGATGATGATGATGATGATGATGATGATGATGATGATATTGATGATAAGCTATAATATTGATGATATTTATGGAAGGATCAGTATTTGTCAGTCAACCTTAAATTCAACAGCAGTTGTGTCAGCCCCCCAAACCGGAGTGAACTACATTCTACTGAAGGACATGTGGACAGGCCAAGTCGATGTGGTTTGCCCATGGCTGCTAACCCCGACTTGTGACCAGACATCACCTCGGAAGGGAGCACCAGTCTGATCTGCTGCTTGAGACATTTCTCAACTCTGATTTTGCACAAAGAGCCGGGAAACTGGCTGGAAAATGGAAAAACACGTCCCGTTACTCACCAATACTCCTGAAACTCTCGGACAAAGTTCTCCTCAACTTCTTCATCTTGCCGATTTTCTCCGCGGGCTGGGAGGCTGGCATCAGGTCGCACATTTCTTTTCGGCCGAGTTTTGCAGCGGACTGGCGGTGGTTTGATGCGGGGAAGGGGGACCGGTGTTCAGTCAGCCCTGCGGGGCTTCTTCAGCCCAGCTGCAGAGCGAAGGCAAACAGGAAACGGAGCCTCAACGGCTCTCACTTCTCTCATCAACTAGTAAGAACAAATGCCTTCTTGAGATTTCCTCAAGAAAAAAAACTACATTTCCAAAGAGGCAATAAAAGTCCGCGCTGAAGCAGAGGCATCCAAACTGGAGAGCGCGCGTAATTCTGGTGCGTCTTTGTTTTGGTTAAGATCCTTAAAATGAGATCTAGCTTGGACTTCTTTCTTTCCTCTCTCAGCGTCCCAGTCTCTCCCTGCTCCACCGCAATCTAGATATCATTTTTGGGATTCTCTCTCTAGTTTCAAGCCCCGGACCCCGCCCTGGATGCGAGGATTGGAGGACTCCCGGGGAGCATCGCGTTCCTATTTGTCCCGGAGACTGGCCGTCAAAGAGGCAGCACCGCCTTGTAATGTGTTGCAGGAGGAGGAATATTTTCATGGGGAGCCAGATTGTCAGCGCTCCTGCTTGAGGCTGCTGCCCTCTGCAAGACCCTGTCATTGTGTGCAGGTCGGGGTATTCCCTCTATATCAGCTTCATCAGCGGTATTCGAGTTCACCGGGGAACATCATACCTGATCTGTTAGGCTTAATGAAAACAACCAGATAAACCAGGGCTCTGATTTGATCCATGTTTGATACATTAATAAATGAAATCCACTAAAAATCTCTATGGAATTTGGTGAGAACAGCTTGCGTTATCCTGACCCACGTCTTTCTCATGCATTTGGTGAAAATATTTACATGCCATGCCAATACTTTGTGGTCATTTGAAACCATTACTAAGACACCTCTGCACCATTTGGATTTTATCCTAATTTTTACTAGTATTTGTGTCTTCTCTGGCCCCTTTTGCAAAAACTTACTGCAGACAGCTATTAGATGATAATATCCAGCAGCCCGTTTCTGCCACAATAACAGCATATTTTGTCAGTTCAAGTACAATGGTATATAGTTGGGATTAAATTGAGCTCTGGGATTAAAGAAATCAGAGCTATCCAAACCCCTGCATCAATAATCTAAATCCTGCAGCAGTGAGCTCATGAGCTCTATTCTGCTTCTGTCATGTGTCTTCATGTGCTGGCTGGCACCTCGGATTTGATCATGTCTGTGCTGCAGTCACCACAGCAGCTGCATGAGTAATTTAGAGGCATCAAAAGAACAATGCAGCAGCGCATGTATACCATAGCATGTCTCCGTGGTGGCTCTGGTCCTCGGTGAAACTGTTAGAGACCAGCACCGTCTGGAAACCTCACCGGAATGCAAAGGGCTCAGATGTTTTCATTCCGCTGCCTAATTACTTTGACTGGGGCACAGGGATAATTGAGACAAATTCACAGCTTCATTAGTTTGAAATGGTCCTTCATTACAGTGTGTTTGTTAATGATGCATACACACATTTCACACAGATTGAACAGAACACCTCTACAGCCTGTGGAAAAAAGTGTGAAACAGAGGATATTATTTTTGAGGTTGTTTTTTTTTTTAACAAGTAGAGTTGCTGTGGCGGTTGTGGTAACTTTGCACACTGGTAGCACCAGATGGCAGTGAGGTAACCACATTTAAATCCTGTCAGGTACCAGAGAAAGCTCCTCTGGTGCTGTAACGTCCCCCTAGAGGCCGTTTGGAGTGAAATCAATGAGAAGAGCAATTTCACTGGTTAGACACAAAAGCTGAATAAGTCATGCATATTTAACTGAATTCTTCCAATTATTCAGCAGTTATTTGTAAGGTCATGACTGGGAGTATAATGCTCCTTTTAATCAGCTTATCTTTAACCCTCACCTTGTGGAGACCCTTGGCCCTCTTCAACAGCTCAATAAATACTTAGCATTGTATTAACAGCTCTGTACTTGTTTATAATCATGATTTCGAACTGATGAGATGTTTCAGAAGTCTGCTACAGAAAATGATGTATTGCTTCTGGCTTTTCCCTCTACATGTGTGACCCGTGTTGACGCCATTTTAGCTCCCCAAAATAAGTCTATTGGATTTTCTGTTTAGTAAGGGTTCAACCTCTAAGTGACACCAAACATAAGTAACATCATTCTGTAGGGTTACATCCTGTACATTTATTTGTCTGGGAATGGCTTTTTGGTAAGGGAATATACACGTGTTCCAGATTGTGGCCAAGGGAACAGTTGCTACTTCATTCCTTTTCTGCGTATCAGTTTTTAATAAGGTCAGAAGAAATTAGAATAAAGCTATTTTTTTTAAACACATACAGCAATGCGACCCAGTGGCAGAAAATAACATAGTACATTTACTCAGGTGTTATTTTGACTACATTTCAGAGGCCAAAGCACAGAAAGGAACCATTCTGCCTACTTACTATTAATCCTTTTGAACTAAAGTAGTAAAAGTAAAATCTTGAATGTAGGACTTTTACTTGTGACACAGGATTTTTTTAAAACAAAGTGCTATTGTTATTTGTATTTAAGATAAAAAGATAGGAGTACTTCTTCCACCACTGGCAGGGTCTGTGGGACCTCAAACAACAAGGAAATAAAGCCAATGTCAACAGGACACAAGGGCTCACCTGATGTTACCGTAGCATCCGCACATTAACCACCCAGACTGAAGGTAACGTCCACGTGATCACACACGGTAGCGACTGGAACAGCAGGTATGCATTATCGGAGCAGAGCTTAGAACAATGTATTCAGTGTGAGCCACGTGGCGGATAAATGTATTTTCAATGTGGCTGAGGGACAAAGGCTCTGCATTTATGTAGCAAACCAAAACCCATTACATAAGTCTGTCTCCGTTCGGACCACGTGGGTGTGACTGGATTGGGGAGTAAATTAAAGAATGAACTGAGCTTTTATGGAATAAATGAACAAAACCTCATTATTAAAAGAGAAAGATTTTTATTCATGTGTCAGAACTCATCTTAAGTACAATCATTATTCTGCATTTCATAAATTGTTGCTGTATGTACAAAGTGCAAAGACCGATATGAAACTACAATATTCAAGAGAGAAAACTCTAAATCTAATTTAAGAAGACGAAAGAACTTTGCAGGAAGTTTTAAAACAAGCTTCTACATCTGTCCAAAACACAACAATGCATCCTCATCACAAATCACAAGGAAAAATAAATTCTTTACAGGTTTGTTATTGTTTGAAAAGTGTGAAACAGTGATTTGTATCTAACTGGATTATTCTAATCTCTGGGGTATTTGTCTCATTGTTTGTGTGAAAAACAGGCGCCACTCCAAGCTAAAACTGAAGAGCAGCTCAACGCGCTGCCTGTGGAACTCCTCCAGTGCAGCTGCTTTACTCATTCTCAAACTTGCTGTATGGGTGGTCCGCGTCACCGATCAGACCTGCACAGAGGAGAGAGGAAGGCTGAGAAAGTGCAGACCAAATGAGAACACAGAAGCTCGTGCTGGGTCAGGGAACATGATGTGCTGTGTTCTTCTGCTTAGATTTTCTACATTTTCCATGGATCGCTGATAAAATGAATGGGGAAAATCCACCCTGTATAAATGTGATATTTAGTGAAAAGACAAAATAGTGTAAGTTATCCAATTCAATCTTTTCCTCAGCCTGTCCTGTCTACTGCTACATCTTTTCATTCTTTCCCAGAAATTCAAGTACTCAAGACATTAAAGGGTAACTTCGGTATTTTTCCACCTGGAGCTTATTTTCGTGTCTATGTGACTAATTGGGACAAAATTTTTTTGAAACTGGTCCAGTACTGAGCGGGTGCTCTGCAGTCGGCAGCAGCGAGACAAGGCTGCAACGTAATCCTCGCAGGCAAGTGCTTATTTTCGCCACCGACAGGCTGAGATTGTTATAACAAGTGTCTGACAACATTGTAGAAAAGAGTAGGATCCTTTTTATTTTTATTTAACCAGAATCAGTCACTATATTTCTCTCACCAAAAGCAACCAGACTCCATTGCTAAAAACATTCATTTTACCTTGCAGATCATGGGAGATGCTGGTCTACCGCTGCCTGGGTTAGTTAGTTTATGTTATTAGTATGTTTATGTTATTGGGTGATGTTGGTGTTTAAGTGGCTAAAAACACTAAAGTCACACAATAACACAAACAAACCGATCGAGGCAGCGGTAGACCAGAGAGGTAAAAGTACTACTTTTGTCAGGGGAGTCTGGTGGCTTTGACGAGAGCGATATAGCGACTGTTTCTGGTTAAACAAAAACAAAAAAACTCTTTAAAAAAAAAAAAAGGTTTCTCTCTGTAGGGATCCTTTCCACAATTTTGTCAGATACAGTCCGAGCCCGTCAGCGGCAAAAACAACCAAACAAGCACTTTGGTGGGCGAAGTTTGACGGGGCGCAGTAGCCCGCAAGGATTACATTTCAGCTCTTTTTCACTGCTGCCAACGCTCGCTCAGACCAATTTAATTTTTTTTGTTCCAGTTAGTCACATAAAACAGACCATGGTTACCCTCGCAAGATAGATTTTAAACAAAACAAAACAAATTTACTAAAATGGCTATACTGATTTTTAGTTTGATCAGGCTTTATAAAGACTAGATCCCATGATGCAACTCAACTGTGTCTTTCATTAGAACCTCGCCCACATCTTTCAAATGCTACATCCCATGTTAAATGTACAAGCTGAGGTAACCCCAATGACATCACACAGGGCATTTTCCCAGAGCTCATCCAGAGCCACAGAAGACTCTACACACAACTGTATCCTCCATTTAAGTAAACTGATCTTAATTTGTAAAATTAACTTCCTCTATGTGGCTATGACTGCTATAATCTGTCATAAAAGTACATCACTGAATACCACAAGAACAAAAAAAGGCCACTTTATTTAATATTTGAAGAGTTTCTTTCCCCACCCAGCATCCCAATGTAAAAAATAAGCTCCATTTACACTAAAAGATGAATGTCTATTTCTTTGTTTGCATCACTGAGGGGTGAAGAAAGTGTTTTTTTATGTGTATGTGAACAACAAATTCAACAAAAATCTAAGTTGTCTGAAACAGAAACACTGTTGAACATGTGTCCATGACAGTAGGGGTGCATGATGATTAAAGAGTTAACTGTAACCCAGGCCAACCAGAAATATTGCTGACAAAACAGCAGCTGGGCTGAAGGACTAACAAAGGCAACTGAGGGAATTTGAGGATTTCTAAACTAGCTCAGTGAGCGGAAACAAACCTTAAGACCATGAAATACTAGCATGGAGACGCTTATTTACACTAAATGCTGATGTCAAACAGGGCTGCTATTTAAAGAATTAGGAGTAGTTCCACATTTTGGGAAATAAACATTTGCATTCTTCCCAAGAGTGAGATGAAATGATTGATATGAATATTATGCCTGTGAGGTGGTTAGCCTAGCATAGCATTAAAACTGGATCCAAGGGAAATAGCAAGAAATAGCTCCAACATGCAACTCCACTCATTTTTATTGCTTCTGTACATGTTAAACAAAATAAATATAATAAGTCATTAGTGCACAGAGCTAGGCGAGCCGTTTCCCCTTGCTTCCAATTGTTATGCTAAGCTAGGCTAATCATGACCCAACTCCAGCACTGTATCACCAAAGTAGCACTGCGCTCTATAGCACTATGGGACTAACTCCACTGAATTTTCACACTTCAGATTATATTATATTATTAAGGACACTTTATACAACTTGTTTTACATATTCAGCAGAAGTCCCCAGCACCTTTAAACTGTAAATTTGTTGGGAGTTTCACATTAACACACAGGCATGAGAGTGATGTCAAACTTCTCTTTCTCACTCCCAAAATTTCACATCGGACCTTCAGCTGCATCCTTTTTGTCAAACAAAAATGAATCTGCAGCAAGTATAATGCTGCTTTTAGTCTGAAGGATCCAGGTCAGTGTTGAGTCACTCCTGAACTGTAGAACTGTCAACAGCTAGCTCATACAGGCTGTGACACCGTGCTGGGAATAACAGTGCCTAGAGTGAAACCTGTAATTCTAATTCATATTTCCCTGCTGGGATCATTTTGACTGATAGCGACGTAAAACCATTTCTCATTTTGCTGAATAACCTCCTGGCCGTCCCTCAAGGAATCTTCGGCCACCTTCAATGACTCTCAACCTCAACTGTGAGACAGTGCTTTAAGGAAATAACATGAGTTAGTAGTGTGTAGTCCCACAGAGGATGTACTGCAGCTCCCTGGATTGTGTTTTACAGAAGAGGCCAGACTGAGGATGAAAGCAGAGCCGCGCTGTCCCCATGGAAGTAAACTAATGAGAGCAGGAGGCTCGGGGAACAGGCCACCATCCATCACTCTGTCATGTTGTCCATACACTAAAAAACACATAACCTGACATCTTACTTACACTGATGATGCCAAGGACACCATGCACACACACACACACACAGTCAACGTGTTGTTCGAAGCTGTGAAATGTAATGCTACATTGGTGTGTACTGTTAAGGTGTGTGTGTTGAATGCTTCCTCATTCCGTGGATGAGTGCACAGTATGAGAGTTCATCTTGATGGGTAATTGTGATTTCTTACAATGATTATTCCTCTCAGTGCCAACAATATTGTAGTCACTGAGTTGATTGCTAAGGGCTGGGAGCACGGCAACATCAAAGAAGTTTCAGACAATATTCAGGTTTATGGATCTGAAAATGTTTGTGACCCTGGCTTCTTAAAATTCAGACATTTCAGTATTACTGGATTCTTTTTTTTTTTTTATTGACAGGAATTCAAGTCCAGAAATAAGAAATCAGTGGGTGTAGTCGAGAGCAGGGGTGGAAGTGCGGCGACTGGTCTGTGGCCAGAGTCCCCTCTATATCCTAAATGAATGATCGCCGCTATTCAAATTTCATACGTTCATTAATATCAATGCGCAACTAATGATTTTCACTCACACTCTGTGCGAGCATGGTGACAGGTGCAGAGTAAGTTAGCATTTTAAGGAACAGTGTGTAATGTGTGCGTGTGCGTGGGTGAGTGAAAGCAAGAGAGCGAGTGGTACAAAGGGACGGTGAAAGCTTTGCAGAGCAAAGGAAGCGTCTTTTTGAGCTAATGGGGAGACTTGGACTTTAATGTGCAAATGAAATGCTTCGTAATTATCCAGAAATCCTATACAGAAAAAAAGATGCATCAATTGCCTTGTCAGACTTCATTGCAGCGATGTTGCTTTGTTCCAAGAGCTTCAGAATTAACTTGATGAGGGGGCGTGTTATCACAAAAAGCCAGGAATTAATCAGAATGATGCGGTTTGGTCAATACCACCCTGCTGCAGAGGAGAATAACTGAGCTTGTAGTTTCCTGTACAGTCGGCGACTATTGATTCATCCGTTTCTCCCCATTTTGCTCCACCCATACAGGATGTGATACCAAGAGTGCTCTGCGTTCAGAGACAAACCTGTGTCTGTTGCTTCAGTGACCTGTGAAATCCTGCTTACAGTCATGAGGGGACTTACACTTGACACCAATGTATGATAAATCATGCTCCAACTGATTTAAGGAGACAGGAGCTGGTGTAACCCATGCTCAACCTGAATTACCTTACCTGAGGACATACTGCTGAATAATGCATTGCTGGCACAGGGTATGGAAATGACAAGTCAATGACAATGTCCTGGAAAACCTGAAGCCGATTCAACCTGCATCCCCAGATACAGCTGACATTCAGAACGGACAGCGGGGTTAAGTCTACATCCAGCACTGCATTAGACTTACTGATCAGCTCAAGTACAGCAGGTGTATACATCACAGGGAGAAATGGGCACACCATCTGTCATACGTTCATTAATGATGCTGAATGCAGTACATATGGTAATACAATGTAGGCCAAGATTCGTACATACCATACTTCCTGCGGATCTCGTCGTGCCTTGCCTTTCTCTCCCCCTTCCTGAAAAAACAAACAAAAACAAAAGAAGAATCAAAGTTAAGTCATTTCACACCTGTAGTTCGGTTCATTTGGAAAAAAAAGCAGTAGCAGGAATAAATATTGATTTCTTGTGTTTTAGTTCTGGCCCGTTTCACGTCCACACTGACTTTTTATAAAGTAACCAACAGGTGTGAACATGAAGTCATAAGCTGACACGTGTTTGGTGTCAGACCTACCTCTGCACCTGTTACACCCCATTTTAAAAGTAGACATTAAGGAACACCTTTCATTCATTTCCCCAGACACGCGCCACAGAAAGCCAGAGGGGAATTAAACGTGCGGTCACACGGTTCAGACACAGCCAGCTGGTCATCACATTCTAATCAAACTAGGGAAATGAAATGTAAATATAAGATTACAGTGGCTGCCACAGGAAAGGGTGCTACAGTAGCAGGTGAAAATGACAATTTTAATAACCTGTCACACACACCGCAATAACAACATATTTCATACATCTCTCTCTCTCTCTCTCTCTCTCTCTCTCTACGAATCTGCGTCCAGGACTATTATACTCTGTGTCAGTCCTGGATAACACCTATCCTAATATCAATACTGATAATGATGAACTGATATTTAGGAATATGAAAAAAATAGATCTGAAAGCAACACAGAGCTTCATGTCCAGAGGAGGCTGAAGGTTCTCCTCCACTTCCAGGTTTTATCAAAATATTCACAATTGTTGTCTAGCTCTTTTCCTCTTTCTACATAATAATCTGTGTCCATGTGTGATGTGCTGCAAAAAGGACACAATTCCCAGCTTCTTGATCAGCCCAAAAGGACTCATGTCACTCCATTACTCAGTGACCTCCACTGGCTCCCCGTGGCCTCCAGAATCAAATTCAAGTCACTGATGCTGCATACAGAGTGACTACTGGGTCTGCACCCATCTACCTAAACTCCATAATACAAACTTACGTTCCTGCTCGGCCGCTACGCTCCTCCAACGAACGCCGCCTGGCTCTGGTCCCTTCACACAAAGCAATCCCAGTCCCCTGTTCTCATCTGTGACACCACGATGGTGGAACGAGCTACCACACGCCATCAGAGCAGGGGGGGCCCTCTCTGACTTCAAGAAGCTCTTGAAAACTCATCTCTTCCGAGAACACTTTCTCTTATAACACCTCTAACCCCTAACCTTCACTTCCTGTGCCCCTCTTCTATCTCCTTACAATTCTCTGGTATTGACTGCACTTTTGTTAACTCTTACTTCCTTCCCTAAGTATTTACCCCATTGATGCCATATGTGCTATTAGCCCTTACTAGTATCTATTGTCAGTTGTAGATCTCGTGCTGTATTGATGCTTGTATGCTGTTCCTCAAATGTAAGTCGCTTTGGATAAAAGCGTCAAATGAGTAAATGTAAAAACAGCGAGAGCCATTATAAATGGCCGATGCTCTGCAGTAGCCCGGCGAGTTAATGGGGAGTAATAACTATATAAAATAAAGTAAAACCTTGCTGGGTAAGGACGTGTTCACTGTGAGAACATTCTGACCTTGTATGAACCACGATCGTGCCTGTACATAGTTCTGTTTTATATCACGGTCTGTTTGATCTGTCTAGTTCAGCTGGGATAGAGCTTCTGAGTTTAAGGTTCAGATAAGCCAGGTTGTTTATCATGATGAGATACGACAGAGTAACTTACTGTTAGTGAGAGGGTACTTCTTTTAAGTCTCTTCTAAAAAATGTAGTTTTATCAGAAAGCATATCCTGATTTTATCTGAGCTGCCTGTTAAATACATGTTTTTATTATTTTATTTTTATTTTGCCCCTCATGTCATCTTTCACACTGTGTCTCTTGTAAGGCACTTTGTACGGTTAAGTCCTCCACAAATAAAGTTAATAATAAAAATTATTATTATTATTAGTGAAGTGTTACTGCTATTAAACATGTATCCCACTGCTTGCTTCAGTTATTGCAGCGGTCGTGCCGATCACCAGGGTGGAAAAAGTGTGGTGGAAATAAATGTGATTGAACAGAACTATAAACAAACATGAGCGCCCTGATGCTGAGGCTACCAAGACTGAGGTTAGCAAGATTTATTCAGACAGCAAACTGACACGGCAGATTTCTTCTCAGAGAGACAGAAGAAAAAACACTTTAGTGAAGAAAACACGAGGAAGCCCAACTTGCTCTTAAGTTCACCACCAATATAAAAGAAGAACAATGTGTGTTTTGTGACTCGACATGCAGTTGAGGCTAAATTCAAAATACAATTTTAATTTGCACAGCACATGCTAAGAAACATGCCTTTAAAGTAACAAGCAGCTCATGTTTTGATGTTGTAAATTACATTTAAATGTATGATGACGATTCAATCCATTTACTTGTTTTTCTGGTATCCAAAAGGGGGTCTTCAAAGAATAGGTGTGGGCTGCTTTCTTTCTGAGGGAGGAAAACTACAAGGTGGATTTGGATCTCACTTTTAGCAGCGCGAGTGGGAACGGATCGGGATTAAAACATCTGTTTTGTGCAGACTTCTAAAGCTAGAATTATGCTTCTGCTGAGGTGCAGGTAAACAACTTTGCAAACCAGGCAAAGAAGTGTTATATGGGTCAACGTGGGTCGCAGACACCACCAAATCTCCACAGCGGGTAGCGTGAATCTGCGCATCAAGCAAGCCGGTTGGTTGATCCAACATCCTGTCGGGAAGTTCTCTCTATTTTTACTTTCAGAGTGTGGGTGTATGTTTCAGCATTGCACTGCCACAAGTGATCTTCTAGAACAGTATAGGAAGTTAGATTCCTCTTCAAGGCACCTAATACCGTTTACAATCTTATCATCGTCACATCCATGTGTGTAAATAAACAAAAAGATTTCTTCTACGTTTTCTTCAAATGTGACACTCTTCCTAGTAGATATGTACATTGCACCCTCAATCCGTATACATCTCAAACTTGTAAAAAAACAACAAAGAAAACACTCACATACACATCCAAACAACCACAGTCTATGTTTGGAGAAGCACAACACCAGCTTAAGAAGTTGTAAGGGAAATGTCAGAGAGCTGCTAAAAATAAAGATATTTTCATTATTTGGTATTCAATAGGGTTTCGGTGGCATAAAGTTTCAAAAGGATCCGAAACACTGAATAAAAATACCTAATTCTGTGTTTCTAATATGGAAATGTCATTTTAAAAAGCAAATCACTTAGCATTAGAAAGCTGTACGAGTCCATCCCCCCCTGGGAGCTGTTCCCCGCCGACAGATGACGGTGAAGGCTCAGTGCTGTGTGATGGCTCTCGAGGGGCCAGGCAGCAGTGTATAGAGGCACTAGACTTTCCGTGGATGGGTCCGATCTTCTCTGAATGTCCTGTTCACAACGTGAACTGCATCTATATAGGTCACTGCACTAACTCTGACTTGGGAGATTTGATCATGCTCACTGCAGGAGAGTCGGACTACATTCTTTGGCACGTGAGAGAAAAGCTCATAGAGGTTGGATAATTGAAGTCGCAGGCTCTCTCGCACACACACAGAACCAGGGCTCTAATGATAAACCAGTTACTGACTATCTTTCTGCACGACTGCCCTGCTTCCCCACACATCACCCAGCCGTCCTCGAAGGATGACACACTGGGAGCGCAGGCACTACACAGGAAGAGGAGGCTGAAACATTTATGGAGTGCAGGAAGAGGAAGGCTTCCATGTCTACTGGCTGCTATAAAACACAGTGCTGTTTGACTCAGTGACTAACACACTGTTTCTTTGACAGTGGACGGCCCTCCTCAGGATGTAGCCCACTCTATTTATGACCACATTACCAAAGAGCAGCTGCTCAGCCTCGACAATCCAATTGGTGTTTTGGGATGCGAGTAGAGGAACACTGAGCTCCTCCTCTGGGACATGGATTTGTTGGGGCACACAAACCAGTTGCTTGAATCTCAAACATACAACGGGCCATTTTGTTGGGGACTATAAACTCTTCCGTTGTAGGAAATCCCATGTAGGTCCTGCTGGGATATAGAGCGGCAAAAACACCCAATTTATTAAACGAATGGGATTAGATTTTTTTGGTCTTTTTTTTTTTTTTTACTTCACAGATATTCAATTGATATAGCGGCAATTCATAACAGAAGTTATTTAATTGCACTTTGCTGTGATGATACAGATACTCTGATAGTATTTATATTAAACTTGTATTATATGGACAAATGTGTATTAGCATGGTTTGCTAGTTTTAGTTTACTATGGTCCTTTAGTAGAAATTTTAATATGAAAATTACCAATTAATATGAGTAGTTATTGCTATTAACTCGACCACGGAGGTTTTATATTTGGTCCTGTTACTGTCTGTGTGACAAATAACAGGATGTCTGAAAAACCACTGAAGGTTTTCAATGAAATTTAGTCAAAAGGCAATGGTCAAGGAAGTGACTTTTCATGGGCTTTATATACCTTTAATAAAGAGCAACAGGAAATGAAGGGGACAGAGAAGAAACAAAGGTCTTCAGCTGGAGTGGAATCAGCAACGTTGCAGTTCCAGGTCAGTGTCTTAACCTCTAAACCACAGCGGCGTCCTAAAGGAGGAACTTTTTGGTTCAGTTGATACCATCAATTTTGCTTTTTCCTCATAATTTCAATGTGAGATTTTGAGACAAATTTGTTACTTGGCCCAGCACAAATCTATCCATAGAAGTCACACCCATTTCCGCCAACAAAGACTTTCAATCATTTAAACATGTTTACAAAGCCCTTTTTCAAAATTCATCCTACGATTTTTATTCATTCTCTACAAAATTTGGAAAATATCTGGATGGCCCTTTTTTGCTATTATATACCCTTTATAACTGGTTCTCCAATCACTTTAGGCTTGTCCTAAGTCACATACATTTCCATAATTTTGGAACTCTTTCCGCAATTGTAAATTTAGAGGACATGTGCACCAAATGAGCTGTTTTGGAGGCAAAAGGGGGACCTACACGATGGCATATTACAAACAGACGGCGCTACATAAACAATGTACATTTAAGTGGCCGTGCCTTAGTTATTAGTCTGCTTGATATTTTGAACACTTCAATACCCTGACATTTACTGGGTATGCGCTCTCTTCTCTCTAACTGAAGACAATAAATTAGAAAACAATCAAATACATCTATATTCTAAGGCTAGGCTTTAATTCAACACTATAAGTTGTTTTACACAAGTGAATAGTTTTGTCTGGTGTAATGATACTTCATTATTACTTTATCTGTGACTTTGCTAACATTCAATATATCTATAAGAAAAAAATCCTGCTAACATTGCAAAAATATTGCAAAGATTTCAGTCATCTCTCTACTACATTTACAAATGGTTACTTGTGGTTTTCACTTGAACCGCAGGGGAGCAACGACCAAACAGAAAAAACAGAAAGACCTCTCCTTAGAACAATACTGCTTTCACTCAGAGTTATTAAATGCAGAGACACATGCTGCCAAGGGAAGCTGTTTTTTTAAATAAAGAGTTATAATTTGTTACTGACAGCTTCGACCTGTTTTTACTTCAGCCTGGAGTGAAGTACTTACCGTTCCTCAGCGCGCTGTTTGATCTCCTCTCTCCTCCTGGCAAATCTCTCCTCATCTCTGTCAGGGCTTAAAATAGGGAGACATAAACAGAGTTTCAGAATTACAGAACAACAAAAACACACTCATCTGGTAGTGACAAATTACATACATCTGCAAATTCCCACATTTGCTTGAGGGATACAAAGGATACCAACCTAGAAGTTACAGTGGTTCAAATTCCCCCCGAGCTGGATTTATATTTGATTCATAAATCGTCTCTACAGCTACAGAAACAAAGGAAATTCATGTTCAAAGTGAGAGGTTGTGTAACAGAAACACCTTTGATAATGGAATTACCTAATTTAACAGAAACTGAGAAATCAGGAGGTGAGAAAATAAAATTGCCTGTAGGTCAATGTACCTACAGGGTCTATTTACGTGAACGGATGCTCCAGGTGTGTGTCAAGTGTGTTTGTGTATGTGTGTGTTTCAGGCATGCTCTTCATCCCATTTGTTTCTGTCAAATGACAGACATGAACGAGACTCCTACACCCACGGGACTGTCAGTGTGTGACAAGCTGGCCTGCAGCTGATTGACTACGGACGTGACGTTTTCATTTCACTCCAGCACAATGACGGCGCCACACGCAGTTGGTCTTGTAAAGGAAGCTAAAATGATGAAGCTGCAAGAGGAACAGCGGCGAGTGAATGTAGCCCTCATTCAAGGGTGCTCAACTCAAGAGCTTCACTGCACTTAACAGCAACTAATGGCCGTTAAGAACTCCATTTCTTTGAGCACCGCAGTAATGTCACAGAGGTATAACTTTCATTCACAGACGTGGCTAAAGCTGGAGACACGCTGGACACGTCAAGTCCTACAGATACTGTTCATTTGATGATGGATAAACCGCAGCGAGTTGACCAGCTGTTCGCCGTTCCAAATTTCCATTTAAACAAATTAGCCCGTCTAGCACAACGTCAAGATTTTGTTACTGGATTGCCTATTTCTCCCCTCAAATATTTTCAGAAAATATTTTAGTGTACCGTTTAGCTCAAATATGAGAATTTTCTGACCCGGCCGCCATTTTGAAAACTAACTAAGCACTGTCCAATTCGCAGTTGGTCACCCACCAGTTCATTGGTCAGGTGTATCTAGATGTGTCTTTGCCAGCTTGAGCTTGACACAATGGATTCAGGTTATACATTATCACTAGGTGTTTATCTTTTTTCTTCTTTGATTGTTTAGGTTAGGTTTCCAATTCAGAACTGGTTGATACTTAACCAAGAGTGGGATTCTGTGCTTTATTAAAATGTTTGGCCTTTACACCAAATTGCCTATTTATTAGGTATTAAAGCAATCCTTTACAATAGCACTACAGTAAATGCTGTCTTTAGGAGGCTCATCATGTTCAGTTTGACACTGTGTGTCAAAGAGTTTGTAGTCAGGGTTGGTGTGTTGCATTGGACTGCATTATCACCTCTCCTGAAGGGGTCATGTTGTTGGTCTCAGTCTAGCTAGCATAACTTGCAGGTATGCACAGGCGCTTTTTGTCAAGTGAAACATCTTTCTGATACTTTATTCACTCCAAAACACGTTACAGTTGTGCTTAAATGCCACTGACGTGTCATGTGCCCTTACCCTGACTGACGCTTCCTGCAGCAGCAGCAGTAGCAGCAGCAGGCGACGATACTGATGAGGATGGTTCCACCCAGGACAGCGAGGGTAATGATCAGGGCCTCAAAGTTCACTGAATCACACAAGGAGACAAATAATTAATATTCATATTCTTTACAGGAGCAGGATTTATTCTGAGGCCATGTCATAAATGAAACCAGAAACTTTGGGTCGCTCTTTTCCATTAATGACAATCAGAACTCCACTTGTTTGGCAATGCTGCCACCTGCTGACATGTCAGCAACACTACAAGTCATCACACTGAATGATAAAACTCCCACTTCCATTTCCAGTGAAAACATAACTAAGATGTCAAACAAGACCTAATCAGATAGGGACTTTGTGTCAAGGCCAGGATCCACCCCAGCAGCAGTATAATGTTTATCAGAAATACATGTTAGCACAGTGAGACAAAGAATGCTAATTAGTTCCCTGATTCTGTGAGGCATAGTGGGTCAGCTTTCCTACAAAAATCAACTATTACTTTAGTATTTTAAAGGAAGCTGAGCAAAAAAAAAAAAGCACAACAACAACACAGCTTTTAAAAACTGAAAGGTTGCAATTTGGCCCATTATTATATGTTCTTATGTCATTTTCTTCAGTAATTGTAGTAGCTAGGAAGCTAGTGAGGCGTTTGTGGCCAGTCCGTAATGACTTTGCATCAACTTCCTATAACTACCCTGTAGCTCATTCAAGACATTAAAATGTTTATACTTTGTATCTGTTAGTGTTGTTTTGAAAGCCTTTTATCCTTACTATCTATTGCACCAATGAGTGAAACCCTAATTTACTTCCTGTGAAGAGATCTTTTTTGTGTAAAATACCCAGACTTCACCAACAAACATGTTAAAACTATCTCAACCTGTCTGGAGAGGAGACCCATCAAGACTACAATATTCTTAAAATCTAAGTTACACAAACGCATAAAAAAGGTACACGGACCATCCAGGTCATTATATTCTATACCAGGCTGCTGGGCAGGACAGGTTTAAAAAAAACAAAAACAAACATGGACTTATGCCCTACATCCCAGAGCACAGTTATTTTATAATTACTCATTTGAATTTATTGTAAAGAGAACATTTTGTGGCTGTTTGTTGACATGGCAACAACTCTTTGCCCTACTGCTCTTACAGTGACATTAACCACCTAACAAAGACAAGTGGCTTCACAGCTGTCACTATTTTCAGTTTGACAGGAAGGAAGTTTTTAAAATAGGTAACAAGTTATCTAGTCCTATGCGCCGCAACACTGGAGGCTCAGAGCGTGTGTTCTCTCTCCACCAATAATCTGGACAAATCATTAAAATAACAAACCAGGCAGGACTGACAAAGAACAACACGGACGTGAGCCCCTGGTTACATTTCCATTTCATCCACCAGTGCAACCTGTGAGCCTTACTGGGTGGGGAAATGTAAAAATAAGTGAAATGAATAAAACGTAGGAGACCTAAACAGCAGGTGACAGTGGGACAGCTTTTAGAGAGAGAATCTGGTTATGTTGTCATAATGCAACTACTTCACTGTGAGAGTGGATCCAATGTAAAGTCAGCTTCTCTTAATAGACCAGTGTTTATCGCTGTATTAGAAATGTTGTGCAAGTCTACGTGTAGACGTTGAACATGTGTTGAAAGTGTCTTTTCTAACTTTATGTGTGTGAAATGTGGATTTCTGTGTTAAACATTGAACTATTGAATACTGAAATATGTTGAATCTATAAAAGTGGTTTCATTTACTTACATATTTACAGTTATTTTCCCTGCATGTACACAGCATCTGGTTCACGGTTCAACAGTTTGAGCGGTGCTAATCTTCTGTATGTATTTCTAAGAACTAACTAACTTTGGCGCCTTTGATAAAATGTGTAACACATGTTAGAGCTTTGTTTATTAATCTGGTCAAAAATGAGAATTTGAAAGAACAATAATCCCTTAGCTGGCTACTTTCCCCATCTGGCTGGCTTCTCAGAAGTTAGGGGAACTCTGTGACCACCGCTGATTTTACTGAGAATGTTTTGGTGCGCACAGAGAGGCAATGGCTCACTTCTATAAAAAGTTGACTGCTAGTTGCAAGCTCCCCTGTGCAAAGATGACACATTAGAGTAAGAGGAACAGAGAGCTTGGGCTCCACTCACACAACCAACTTACAAATTGTTCTCCTCAGCTCCAACACTGCATTGTTTGTCTAACAGAACCTCCCACCACTGCACGTATACTGTAGCTATTTGCATCTGAATTTTAACCTACTAGTATTTTATGGAGCTAAATCATTTTAGGACTTCTACCTTTACATGGTCATGTGACAAAACAGTTAACTTTTCTTTTTGTAGTTGCACTGTTTTTATTTTTATGTTGTATGTACTTTTACAGCGTCTGTGTGTGTATACGCTTTGTTTTGCATGTTAAAATTGCATTTAAGTATTACATCTTCACAATACTGAGCCATTACATTCTCACGCACCGTCTAGAGTTCTCTGAAATGCAAAACCTTTATTACTGAATACCACTGGATTATTCTGTCCACCAGTTTCCTTCTCCAATGTAATCCAATGAAAGCTTTTTATTTTCCAGCGAGGAACACCTCTTTGGGCTAGACCAGTGGAATTACTGATTGCAGTCTTGTGAAGTGACAAATGAAATAGAAAAGCAGGTATAGTCACCATCTTTCACATCATAAAAACAACTGATCAACTCACGCCAACACACTCCCCAACGGGCCTGAGACAACTGGCACACTGACGCTGGAGGCAGCAGCCAGCTCACTGGGTATTCTGTGCAGTTGTTGTTGGTTAAGCACCACAGACACTGTGGAGACAAGACACAAAGATTAACCCCCTGCATGTTGCAGTTCTATTAAGATCTAAAGAGTCCATTTGGTATACAAAGATTAAACTTAACTTTAACATATCATTTAAACTTTTTAGGATTCCTTGCTTCTCTTGGCCACTTGTCCTTTGCTTTGAAAGGCCCACCTCAGCTTATTTTGATGGAAGCAAGTAAACCTAAACAATTGCCTTTTGGGGTCTGGGGTCACTGCTTTACTGGATTTAGTTATTCATGATGTGGGAGGATGTGTAACTTAACCCGCTGAATGTGCAAACCAACACGGGGCCATTAAATTCCACTTTATGACAGCAGCCTGACATGTTCAGGCAAAGGTGTGGGCTTATCTTTTCTAATAACTGCACCCATATTACTCTTGGCAGCCTTACCTTGGCGTGTGGAACACAAGAGTCACAGCTTTTGTAAGTAGAGCAAGCTGAAAAGAGAGAAAAAACACAAAGGTTAACTACTCGAAAGTAACGAAAAGCCCTTAAAGCAGCGCAGTTAAAGCCCAGCGCCAGCTGCGTTCACATTCAAACGTGACGTATTTACAAAATGATACTATTTTACCAATGTTGCTACAAACCTACTTATAAACTGGCATTAAAGTATCTTTTTACCAGGTCAAATGTTACCTTTGCCCACTGTAAAAACATCTGCAAGTTACTACTTTTCAAACTAAAATTGTACTTACGAGTTGATGGTGGTGGTGTTTGGCATTCTCCCTGGCTAACAAAGCTAACACACAGCACGACGGCACCAAAGAACACCGCGGTCAGTGTTTGTCTCTCGGTTTTAAAAGATAACATCTTTAAAACCACAGAACAGCTCGGGAAGCTTAACTGCGTCTAAAACTACAGAATATCTGCAAGACGAGAGTCGAAACTGGAGGCTTGCCTTTCTTGTTCTCCGCGACTCTCTATAAACACTGTTGTTTCTTTCCCCTTGGATCTACCGCTGTCATTTCCTGGGTGGGGTTAGCGCGTTTGCGATAATCTTGACAGCCCGGACGGGAGGAGTTTAACAAAAGACACAAACGACAGCCTGCTTAGTTTCTGACCGACAGAGCTGCGCTCATTCTCTCGGATTTGTGCGTTCAACATTAAATAATAATAATAATTATTATTATATTATTATTATTATTATTATTTCTGATGTATTTATTCATTTCAATAAATATTCGTTTGGATTACATTTTCATTGAAAGTGGCTGTGAGACCTCACTGTGATTATTTTACAGAAGGCTATTTAATAGTAGACACACTTTAGCCATTCAGTAAACAGACACATGGTTGCCCATGTCATGGGATTTTTTTTTTTTTTTTAAAGAACTGAGTTCCCTGGGGGAGGGAAATGAGTCACAAAATATCAGTATCTGTATCCTTGCAAGACCAACCTGTAGAAATTCTCTCACAACTTCTGTCAAGGCCAATAATAAGCAAAGTCCCACTGAGGGACCATATAGATCTTGGTGTCTTAAGCAATACACTCTTTATAAAACATGCCACCAGAGGATGAGACCCAAGAGATTTTCCCTCAAATCCCACATGGCAGGTGGAGATAGCTGACAGACAGACTTTTATTGTGGAAAAGGAAAGACATTTTCTCAGCAATTCTTGGAGAAAGATCAACATATCCACCACAGAGTTTGGAAAGGAAAACTATTCCTTTTCTCTCACCCCGGCATTAAATATAAGCCACGTAAGCATATACAGCCCTTTTGTTGATGCTGTTCTGGCACTCTGTGTTATGTCAATAACATTGACAGACAATCTTGAGGCCACCAGTTTCTCCAGACCCACAGATCTCAGATTTCGGGGCAGGGGTGCCATATTTGCCCCTGGGTCTGAGACAGCAGATCCCTGTGCAAAAGAAGGGATCAAGGTCTCCCCTACAGTAGTGTCATGATCTCTGCTACCGCACCTTCTTGAGCCAGTGAGGAGCAATCAGAATCATAGATAATCCCCCTGGATGCGCCCACTTCAGTGTGTTTGGATTAACACAACCAGAGGAAACGCTTATAGGTAGGTCCCTGGCCACTGATTGGCCAAGGGCTCTAAACCGAGGGGCGACCTCCTGTCCTGTGAACATAGTGTGGCAGTGTGTGGCAGTGTGTGTTTTCTTTTGAGGCAAACAGATCGACAGTGGTCCTGCCAAACCGTTCCCATATCTCTTGCACTACATCCGGGTGCAGTCTCCTCTCCTTATCAGGGGAAAACTCTTGTAGAGAAGGTCCCAAGGACCCACATGATCTTGTCTCTGTGATGAGTGGAGAATATCTGTTTGGCATGCAATCAGTGCTGGAATTTCCACATCATCAGCGAGCCCAGAGGAACTGTCTTAAATCCCAGTAGGCGCTGGCACTGACAGAGATGGACAGTGCAATGCAGCTGAAATAGTGATTTCAATTGAAGGCAGCTATCCTCTGAGACGATAACCAGGCCCGATTCATAGAATCCAACTCCAAACCCAGAAAATAAAGTTTCTGACTGGGAGAGAGACTACCTATTTTCTCCTTCTTCTATAGGGCCTGATGTAGATCCTTGGCCTGGTAAGGTTGCAGCTCCGTGGAGGACTTTATGGCTTCGGACAACAGAAGAGCTCCGCAAGTGGCTGAGTTTCCCAGCACCTTCCACAAGAACACTACACATCTCTCCAGAGTTGTCTTTCACAATCAAAACAAAGTGCACACAGGTCTCTGGACTAGCAAGTGCAGTTTTTGCATGTAAAATACCAAGTGCTAGCTTGGTATGGGCACATGGGCTATGGGCATGGGCAAAATCCCCATACTGATGTTAACTCAGAATGTACCCTTGTTTCCAATATTGTAGGTTGGATTTGAGATTTGTCTGAAGAAAAAGTAAAGAATCTCAAGAAAGAGAGGAACATGGGGATCATGGGAAGTTTCACAGCAGTCTAGGCCCATAGCAGCACAACTAAGGGATGTTCACCTGAGCCGGCCCCGGCTGGTAGCTTTATCCAAGAGGAAATATTGCACCCTCTATCCTTAGATCCTCGAGTCAGATAAACAAACTTGCTCTGTTTGGGACTGGGTGTTTGCACTTTATCAGAGGTGCTGAAGTTAGCATGTGTGCGGATTTGTGTTTTTTTGTGTTAGTTTCGTTCAGCTCTGTCTGTATCAGCTGAGCAACAACGCAGGCTAATGAGCAGCAGAGTATAGGGCAGGTAGTAAAAATATTATGACTTCTCATTAATTGATGACGTTATTTGTGTAATATTAAGTCTTTTTTCTCGACATTTCAGGTGGGAGGGATTTTGAATGTGCAGAAAGTTTTGAACATGTGCAGAAAACCTGCTGAAACACAGGAGCTATTAAGTCCAGAAGTTTCTAACTGAATGAAAATTAATTAATTTATCATTGAGGTAAAAATGTGCCACGACTGCACATTTGAAGAGTTTTCTTCTCCAAACAAAAGAGGGGGAAGACTAAATAATTTGTGTTGACTCAGCATTTAAATGAGAAAAGCTAATCTACAGGAGAATACATATTTAAAAGCAAGTCAGATTGCATGAGAGCCTTACTGCGTTATATTCTATTAACTGCCAATTAATGAATTTTTATATTTGAATTTTGTGTTTCCCTTTACGCTATATAAATGAAGACATTTCAACATAAATTGATGCAGAAATTTTCTCCAAAAGGCAGGAAATGAAGTGTTTAATCCTCAAAATTTTTGTAGGAGGTCCCCAAGACCCCCCGCTTAACAATGTCCCCTCCAGTGTTAAAAAAACAATGAACTTGCATTTCTACAAAAAGTCAATATAAAAAAAAAAGATCCAGATCCAAACATCTGGAATGAGGCGCACAGCCACAGTCGAAAGAGAGAGAGGGAGATGGTCCAGCACAGGAGGAGAAACTAGGGAGAGAAAGACAGAGAGCACACAGCGTGGACGCTCGTGCTTGTGGGACGCAAACAAAGATTTCCCTTTTACTCTGTGTCTTGTGTATACAGTTTAGCAGCATCACAGTTTTAAAAATAATAAACTTTGTCATGGACCTTTTTGATGAATGTGTCAGAGGTTATAATAACGCCTTTCTAAAAATTAAGGTCATTGTTGATTTTGAAAGTGAATGTTGTGACCCATCAGCCCACATACGTGTGAGCCGATTGAATGTTGGAGAAGCTGCAATCGCTTAGAAAAAAATGGATATGAGAGAATACGGATGTAACCCTTTCAGAGCTGTGTCTGCCACAGGCTGCCTAGAATGAGGAGCTGTTGTCCCTGTTTACCTCTTTTTAGCTGCTATGGCGTCATGCTGCAACCAAATCACTCAGTGGAATTTTAATGAAGACTGAATTGAAAAGCTTTAGACCCCTTGTGGGATTGGGTGGCAGTGTAATGTAACACGCGCTCTGACTGACTTGTCGGCAGGGACACATGACAAGAATCCATGTGAGGCTTCATCCGTCTGTCTGTCGATTAGCTGTCTGACAAGGTTTGTCTGAGCTCCCACTATTCCTAATTCCATGCAACATTAATACTGACAAATGCGTGTGTTTTATATGTGCAAGTGTAAAATTAACTGTATTTCACAACAACTTCACACTGTATGCAGTCACACATATCATGCATATGTGATAAATTATGGACCTGATTATAAATCCTTTTGAGCAGGCTCCCAGAAGAGCCTGAGGCTGACCATGCTCCATTTGAGCTACATCAGGTGACAGAGGATGGACGTGTTCTGTTTGTCTATGATTTCGTTCCTCTTCAAAATAGAAAGTAATGTGGAGGACATACGGAAAGGAAGGGAAGAAAGTAATGAAGAGAGGGTGACAGAAGTGGGACACAGGCTTGAATAAATCATCATAAAAGTATACAGCCAGTTCAAATGACATGGTCCTTTCACATACTGTATCTCAGTTCAATAGTCACTCATACCAAAGTACAATGCAGCAAACCTTCTTGTATCTCACATTGTATAAAGGTTTTCAATGTAGACCACATCCAAAAAATATGTATAGAGTTCTAAAAAGTCTAAGAGAGAGAGAATCAAGTACTAACATTGTTCAGTGAACATAAACTGGCATGCCAATTACAACTGTGGAAATCTAAATAGTAATAAAGTTATAAAAAGTTAACACTGCCTTACCCAGACAGTTTAAGTGTCAGGTTTTATTGGTGCGCTGAGGCTGCTGTTGCCCCTGTGCTACTCATAAAGGATTTGGACTCATTCGTAAATGAGTCCAAGATGGCTCACTTCCAGTTAGACTCCCAAAACACCTATCACACTTACATCTCAAAAACAAAACTGTTTACACTGAAAAGGATGGCAGTGTTTTCATTCTTTGGATGGACTGGTACACAGTTTGGAGCTGACATCAACCGTTCCCTGATGATTTCTTTATGACTTTGGTGTTTCCCTAAATTCCAATTTATTACTCCAATACTTGTTTGTGACCAAATATATAACTACAACATTCCCATCAGCCTCTGCTATACTTTGTGTTTAGTGTTGATTAGCAAACGTTAGCTTTCTAACACCTTCACTATGATGGTAAGTAGGGTAAACTTTATCTTCGGTACATCCTCACAGAGCTGCTAACATGGCTGTCAACTATTAATCAACTGTTTTGTCTCCCACAGCATAAAATATTCATCATCACGTGATGTGTTTGCTCTTTAGTTTCCAAAGTAAAATACCCATAGTTGAGTTACAAGATATAAACACTTCCAGTTGTTATAATCAGACTAATCTGTCTTTGTTTTAGGTTGTGATAAATCATCTTTGCCCATCTACACAGTAAACAAACAGACACATCACAGTTCCAGCTACCTCTACCAGTATTTTTCCAATAAGCTCTGCACCCTCCCACTAATACTGCACTGACCTAAATCACAGGTATAATAGGGAAGACAAAATCCCAATCATTCTTGAAGGCTGGGTTGAAACAGATGACAGGTTGTCCATCTGATAGTCATCTGTTTTACAGAGCATCTTGCTTA